AATAGAAAACATGTTGTCTATGTGTGCGTGTCAGTTCACCGTCAATCCGCGATTTTCGCGGACTGAAATGAGCGAGGTAAACTCGAGCTCTCTTCCCCCTCTTATCCACACAAAACCGGTTTTAGGCGGACTGAGCAATCTAGTGTGCGGAGGCCCATTGGCAACGAAAAAATGAAATGTCTCCCACAGACAACGTAAAAACAAACGTTAGGTTGTAACTCGGCAATTTAAAAACAATCGGGTATATGCTGCAAATCGTACTATTTGAAATCGGTGCGATTCCAAACTTGTTTTGAATATTTTTAAGGAGAGTAATAAATATTTCAAATGCAAATGTCGAGAAACTCATCAACTTCAGGCCATATCCACCGATCCAGTGCCAAATGTTGTCTTTTTGCTAAGAAATCTCCAAAGTAGGTGTGGCAAAGCGTACCGTTAAATTTTAGAACACGGCCACCGTTTCCAATCTGTAAATTCGAGATAACAATTATTTTTGGCCCTAAATAAAACTCGCGTGGTGATCGATTTTCAAATAAATAAAAAAACATTCAAATTTGTTTTTAATTTTAATCTTTTAATTTATTTGAATTTTTCACATGGTCACTCTCATTATATTGCATATTGCATATTATTATTATTATTATTACGTTATGCATGTATTATTGTATTAGTTTTATACGCTAATCAATTAATTTAATATTAATTAAACAGTTAGTGAATTATTATCATATGTATGCATGTATGTATGTATGTATGTATGTATGTATATAATATATGTATGTATTTTTATAAATGTATGTACGTATTTCTATGAATGCATGATGTAATTTAATTATAATTTATGTATTACACAAAAGTTCACATGTTTTACATATTTATCTATGTATGTATGTTTGTAATACAAGCATGTATGTATGCATGTATGGTATGCAAAATACGATGCGTTATTTTCAGAAGTGTCGGTTTTTGTTTGTTTTTTTTTCGTTTTATTTTACTCTTGAATTCTCTGATTTTGTCTTTTTTGCATTTCTACATACATTTGGCAATGAAGAGTAGTAGCTACATATGTATGTACATATGTACATATGTAATATGCCGTATGTGTTTGGATTACCATTTTTTTTTTCATTTGTTTACACGCTAATGCGAATTTGAATAAAAATTTTTATTTCAACTGCCGAAAGTTCAAGTGTTTT